AAGATTTTATTGGGGAATTGGGGAAAGGGGACAGTGTTGGGGAATTGAGGAAGGGGAACAGCCAAGTTTTTCTTCAGTCTTAGTTGTGGAGGGCGCAGCTAGCTCAGCTCCAAGTCCAGTCACCATCTGGCTGCCTGTCAGCTCAAGGTGCCATGTTCAATCTTAGTTGCGGGTGGGCATAGCCCACCATCCCATGCGGGAGTTGAACTGGCAACCTTGTCGTTAGGAGCACGTGCTTTCACCTAGTTGAGCCATCCTGCTGCCTGTTGGCAGCTCAGTGGCAGCTCAACTCAGCTCGGGCTTAGCTCACCTGCCCATGTGGGAATTGAACTGGCAACCCTGTTGCTCAGGGCTTGTGCTCTTAACCAACTGAGTTACTCGGCCGGCCCCTATTGAAGCGTTTTTATGATGGCTACTTTTAAATCCCTGTAAGATGATTCTAATACCTGTGTCATTTCAGTGTTGGCATCTGTTGACTATTTTTTCTCATTCAAATTGAGATTTTCCTGGTTCTTGTTGAGACCACTGGCTTTTGATTAAAATCTGGGCATTTTGGGTATTATGTTGTAAGATTCTGGATCTTATTTAAATCTTCTGTTAAAGATTTTAAAAGGCCTCTGACACCACTTCAGCAGTGGAAGAGGAATGTGGCCTTGTTACCACAGGGTGGAGATGAACGTCCAGGTCCTCACGCAGCCTTCTCTGCTGGAAGAGAAGGTATTAATTCATACTTGGTAGCAGCACTTCTGTGGGATAAGGACAGAGGGTTTGAGACACCTCACTGAAGCCTGATGAGGGTAGAAGCTAGGTTCCCCACTCAGCCTTTGCTGGTGGGGGTCAGGCTTTAGTGTTTTCTGTGGTTTTTGGTTGGAATAGAGCAGTTATTATCTAAAAGTGTTCTGACTTGCTAGGCTACCCCTTTCCTGGTCCTTTGGACATGAAGAGAGCAGCCTTTTCTTGGAGCCTTTTTTTGTCTGTGTCCATTGGTGTTTCTGGGTTGCCAGCTGTTCCAGCACCCAGTCTGGGGTATATGTAACAAAAAGAAAACCCAGAGAACTCAGTGCTGTGTCATTCCTTGGGTCTTGAAGTCCCTAGTTGGTTTGCCTTCTTCTCTCCACCTTTGAGAGTCTTCTTATGCTTCTTTTATATATAATGTGCAGGGTTTTTAATTGTGCTTAAGTAGGAAGAATAGGGAAAAAGTAGATGTTCTCTATCTTTTTGGCAGTGGAAGTTCAGATATATTGCTTTAAAACATTTTATTTGGGGCTCATGGAAGAGACAATATGTTTTACAAATAAACAAGAACACCTAAGTGGAACACATATGGAAATTATGTGATGGCCTGTTTTTATTTTAAATTTTGGTCAAAATATGTTGGAATTAGATTTACAATTGCTTTTTCTGTATTATTTTCCAGTTTGTATATAAAGCATTAGTTATTGAAAAAGAGAATGAAGTCCTAATTGACTATTAGACATCTATCTAAATTATTTAGGTAAAATTTTATCTGAGTAGTGATTCCTAATACTCTAAATAAATTAGAGAGAATGTAAATAAGTTCAATATTTAAAAAATTTGTTTAAAATTCTCCATTAATGTTTCATTTTTATAGGCAGTTAACCAGTGTACATTACTTTAGCAGCATTCTTTTTACTTGACAAGCAGTTTGATGCCAAGCCTCAAGTTTTTTCTTTTAAAAGTCTTTAGATAAATACACATGCTATTAATTTAAAATTGTTTTAATTTACAGGTCCATAATTAAGACTGTCAGGAAATATAACCACGTTAATGCCAAAATAAAATGCAATTCATATTAAATATTATCACAGAATTATAACACTTAAAAACCACACATAGAACATTTTAATTGACAAATTCTATTGGTCTTTATGATTTTATAATATTGTGTAGGTTTTATAATAACCAGTTTTTAAGACACCAGGTATTTGGTTTGTAACACATTTCAAGTGAAATCCCATATTCACATTATATTTATGTTTTTCAATGCAGCTCTCGAAAAGTTTATTAGCTGAAGTGCTAAATCCAAATTCTGTGTAGATTTGAATATGCCCTATTTACTTTCCAGTTTTATGTTCTTTGATAACTACACAGTTAGCACACAAATGAAACACATAAGAAAATACTCTTTAAAAAAGTGAAGTTTTTAAAAAGACTTAATTTTACCAATATTCTTCTGAAATTTTAAATTGTAGCATTAAATAAGAACTCCCCAAAGAAATACTAAAATTACCTAGTTTTATTGTAACCCTATATCTTATTACCCTTTGAGGTAAAGATATTTTCATATGAAAATTCTCAAATTTGAGATTATATATCTTTTAAAAATTATATCTGCTCCCCCCATGTTTTCTAAGAAAAGAAGAGGTGGGAGTGGGTTAGTTTTCCTTTTTTATTCAGTTTAGAAACTTGATTCTTTGAGATTAAGGTGACATGGGTTTTTTTTCCTTAAAACTTTAGTCTCAAAGAAACTAGGTACATTACTGTGCAAGATTTTTAATGTTAGCCTTTTATTATATCATTACATTTTATTGTCATTTTTGGCATGCCATGACTTCTTAGGAGCATAGAAGCTATTTTTTTTTCTTTTTTTGAGTGTAAATTTTTTTTCTGGAAAAAAATGTTTATTAAAATAGTTAATGTATAATAGTATCTTAGCTTTACTGGTTAGGAAAGCTCTCCAGAAACAGATAAAAGTATAAAAAGCACATTCATATATATTCATTCTTTTAAATAGACATTGTGGAAGAAATTATTTCTTTCTTATACCTTTTACCAATAGAAGGTTTATGCAATTAGATATTTAAATTGGTAGTGCATTTTTAAGAACTTGAGGCTTCCAAATATCATTTTAAAAATTCAGTTAGTTTGTAGTATATTTACATAGATGACAGAGCACCGAGTTTACTTGGGGTGGTTTTTTTATTCAGTTTCTTTAAAAAAGTAAAATAAGCCAGTTAATTTACATGTGTTAAAACCATTATTTGTAGTTTAAAATGACTGACAAGACCTAAAAAAAAAAATCACATTTTTAATTTACAAAAATTTACAATATCTTTGGCCACAAAAACCAGTTTCTCAACTGAGATAGGGAACCGAAACCACTCCTAACTCTGGAAGAGGAAGAAAATCTGATGAGTTCTATTTTCATATCAATAGTCTTTTTTTTTTTTNAGCAAGCACTGCTACTGCTGTGTTTTCTTCCAGAATGATTTCTGATGCACTCATATAAATACATAACTGTGCTGTGATTTTACGTAAGTGGATATGTGGGTTTCTTTGCATTCTTTTTCTTACCTTACTACCATATTTTGGAGATTTTTTTTTCTATGTTAGCACATAGATCAAAGTTAAAGTTATAGAATTCCACAGTAAGGACATACCTTGGGTATTTCATGTGTCTATTTGGATGGTCCATAAGATGAAAGCCACTAAGGTCTTACCTGATTTATATAAACAAGCAAACATACAAAAACAACCCCAATTCTGGGCCTAACAAACAGACATCTTATTTCAACCTCTCACTTATAGCCCCTCACCCAATTCCCTGACCTGAGTCCATTTACAAACTCAGAGGCTCCTAAATGAAGGAAAAGCTGGAAACCCTTGAGGAATAATTCAGTAATAACACCACAAGTAGGAATTGTGATTCTTACTCCTAGCCTTGCCTAAAGGGGCCAGTGGTCATCTATAGGAAATATGCATGGACAAAAATAAATTTCCAGTCCTCTGAGATTACTGGACACTGGCTATGAATCACACTAATTCCTGCAGATCCAGAATGCCACTGCAGTTCACTGGTTAGACTGGAGCTTAGAGGGGTGAGGTGATCCTGACCGTTAGGATAAGAGTAAATTATGATAGAAAAGACGAAGTGGAAACCCACAGAGCTTTATCCTCCCTTCCCCAAATCAAAAGAGTGAAATGGAAGTTATACCAATCCCTTGGTGAAGGACTATATAAGTGTCACCCTGAAAGATTTGAAAGATGCATTTAACCTGCCAGCTTGGTTGGGAATGAAAATGGATGGANGGCAGCTCACCTCGGGCCAGGCATCGAACTGCTGTTGCTCAGAGCTCGCACTCTTGAGCGAGCTCTTAACTAACTGAACCACTCGGCCGGCCCTTGTGTGTGTTTTAAGGAGTAAAACATTTCATTATAGATAAGTCTAAAGCCCCCTTTAATGACCAACTTCAGTCCTATTCCCTCTCCTCAGAGGCAACTACCCACATAATTTGGTTTGTTACCATTTTGTCCATTTAAAAAAAAATCCACGTCACAGACGAAATGTATGATACTATGTCAGTGATGTAAAAATATCAGTATAAGGATAGCACCAAAATCTACCTTACATTCTATATCTTTCTTTTTTCACCCATCATCATCATATGGATCTTGAAGTATGCAAGGCTTTCCCAAGCATGACATAAAGTGCAGAATCTACATCTGCAGACAAGTCTAGCATCTTTCCACCATCACATTGCCTCACTAAGCTGTTCTCATTAAGAATTTTTTAAAATTTGGAAATATGCTTTCAATTTTGATTAAACTTCATCTGGTCTTTCTAAGTTTTACCAGAAGAGTTAAGGAAGAGGGGAGAGTGTAAATATAAAGCACTTTTGAACTATTGTGCTTGCCAACCAGCTAAATAAAAGTGCCTCCTGAACAGAAAGCTTGTTACTATTTTTTCATTTTGCTTGGAGAGGGAGGGTTCAAGGAAGAGTTATGCATTAGAGTTTGGTAAAAAGTGATTTACTTCCTTGAATTCAATCAATTTGTATCCATGATAGTGGCAAAATCCAAAATTACATGCAATACAAAATTCCAGCACTGAAAATTAAAAACTTCTGACTGAGGACTAGGGGGTTGAGCAGAATTTCAGAATATCTTATTCAATAACCTTTTTCTGTTTTCCACATTGGAAATAAGAAGCTTCACTACTCAGATAGAGCAAAATATCAGCATAAATACAATTGTCAATTTGGTTGTCAGAGTGAAAGTTGATGGTTTGGACTAGAATCTGCAAACTTTTTCTGTAAAGGGCCAGATAGTACATATTTTCAGCTTTGTAGGTCATGTGGTCTCTGTTGCAGCTGCTCAACTCTGCTGTTGCAGCCCTAAGCAGCCATAGACAATACATAAACAAATGGGCAAGGCTGGGTTCCAATAAAACTTTATTTACAAAAACAGTTGGGTGGATATGACCCACAGGCTATAGTTAGATCTTTGCTGGGTTGAGGGCAGTGGTAAACTAGTGAATGTTTAACATCTGGCTTTTTGGAGAGCAGGGTAAGTCCTGGTTTATAGCATTTGCCCCATCGTGGCTGATTTCATGCTACCTATGTGACGTCACTGAAGAGGCAGGAAGAAAAAAATATATGGTAGCACACCGTTATATGGCGTTTGTACCATGCACAGATACCCTAGAAGTAAATAACCTCAAGAGCATAGATAATAGTAAAATGAAATAAAATAAGAAAGTGGTTGAGTTTTGAATACTTATTACCTTTGTTTTCAATGCAATTTATTTAATTGCAAATTCAAATAATTTAATTTTTAAGGCTGTCCATGTTTATTTAACATCGGACTCACAAAATTACTAAAAATTTAATATTTGGCTCTGGTGAGCCAGTATGAACCTACTTTAGCACACCACTGTGTTGGAGGACATAATACAAATTTTTGCTTTAATAAGTTGCCTACTGAATCATAAGTGATATGGGAGAGTAAAAGCAACAAGATATAGAGGATTATGTTAATATGCAATTTTTACACCAATCTTGCTCACCTGTTTCAATAAGAATCTGAAACAATAATTTTTTTTTTTTTTAGAGGGCAGTGTCACTGGCCCTCCTATGTGGGATCCGAACCGGGGCCCTCTGGCATCCCAAGCCAGCTCCCAAACAACGCGCCACTCAGCCGGCCCAAAAAAAAAATTAATAATTTTGTTCTTTTAAGTGAGAGTTGACTACGTCAGAGCTGTTTTATGTCTTGGTTTTTTATCTCAACTATTAAGTGATAGCATATGTAGTAAATTTGGGTCAGTAGTCTTTGTCAATATGTCATATATAATAATAAATGTAACTTAACATTTGATTTTTTTCCCTTAAGGCATGACTGTGACACCTGATGAAGAACAAAACTTGAATCATTACGTACAAGTTTTACAGAACCTACTACTAAGTGTTCCCACTAGGGAGCCAGGCCATAAGAAAAAATCAGAGTCTCCAAATAATGTTCATTCTATGGGATCGAAGGTATCAAAAGTTAAGGAGATAATTTCACATGATGAAGCTTCAACTGAGAATGATGTTATAATGAACCCTGTCACTAATGAAGCTACAACTTTCCCTACTAGAGGCTTCACAACGGAAACAGGGAGCAAAAAACCCACTGAAAGTACACCATTCTGGTCGATTAAACCAAACAATGTTTCTGTTGTTTTACACTCAAAAGAACCTTATATTGAAAAAGAAGAGCCAGAGCCAGAGCCAGAGCCAGATGTAAAACAAACGGTGGCTCCAACATCCTGGCCAAATGTTACTGAATTACCCCCAAGTCCTTCAAGTAGGAGCCCTGACTTGGATACCTCCACAGAACTAGAAGATGTTCCTCAGCTCTCAGGTGAATATGACACACTAGAATTTGAAAAACATCCACTGATTTTGAGTAATGAAGACATTTTGAAAAAAATTGCAGATATTAGTTCAGAGGTACAAAAGATACCTCTCCCTGAGAGCCTCAAGCCAGAATATAGAGAGGACATTAAAGCTTCTAAAGAGCACCTAAAACGAAGTCTTGCTCTAGCAGCAGCCGCGGAACATAGATTAAAAAAAATGTATTCATCCCAGTTATTACCACTAGGACGAAGCAGTGGTGAAATTGATGGCATTGAAACTGTTATTAACATGCTGTATAATTCTAGATCTAAGTTATCTGAATATTTAGATATTAAATATGTCCCACCAGAGATGAGAGAAAAAGCTACTACAGTATTCAATACATTGAAAAAAATATTGTGTGTAGGTCAAGTAGAAACTCAAAAACTTATTAGGAGGTTATTAAACAATAATATAAAAATTTTAAACTTACTTGATATTCCATGACAAAGATGATTTAAGCAAACTGGGCATTCACTCACAAGAGAAACAAGCATATTAGTGACTCAAAAGTTGTATAAAAATATTTTCTGTTGTAGTTCAATGTGCTAATATCTTACATGTCATGTGTTATGAAAAAACTTCAATGCTCTAAAAGCCTAAAAATTTAAAATAAAATTTTGGTTCAGGAGTTTGTAGTTTTTTTCTTATTAATCAATTTTAAAAGTCATAAAGACCTAATCTTTAAAATATTTAAGCTTTGATTTTACTTGAATAGATTAGTTAAGTTCACCCATTTTATAAGAGTTAAGAGAATGTATTATATATATGTATAAATATATTTTTATAAGTAGCATGTAAATGTAAAATTACTTTTTCAGAGAATCTGAGTTTTCTATCTGAATAACATAGTTGGAGCTTGTCTCAGAACTACTTTCATTTGGATATATGTGTGCCTCCTTTGAAAAGTGGATGGTATAATTAAGATAAATCTCTTTTCCTTTGTTGTTAAATACTTTTGGAATATCAGTGAGGAATTGTAACCTGGATTTGTAGTGAAGTCATTTTCACTGATTTCCTCTTTTTGTTTGTTTATATACATATATATTGAAGCTTTGCAAATCTTTTATTTGAGATTATGACTAACATCATTAAACTTAACTGTGTAATATTGTAATTATGGTGCAGATAATTCTATTTCATGTTTTGACCAGTATTATATTTAAATTTATTGATTTATTTACTCATTCATCAAGCCAGTCATTTATAGTTTAATGAAGATTTACTGACCTTTTACTATGTGCAGGACAAAAATGCTAGGCTTTGGGGATACAGTAATAAGGCCTAGTTTCTTCTCTCTTTGAGGTTATATTATAGCAGGGAAGGCAGACACTAAACAATAACTGCAACAATTTTTAAATTTCATTTGTGACAAGTTATTAGGAAGGTATCAGAAATGACCTCACCTAGACCAAATTAATGGGAAAGCTACTCTGAGAAGGAAGCATTTAGGTGAGACCTAAAGGATGAGGATATATGTAAGGCAGAAGGGGGCATTCCAGGCAGAGGGAACAGTATGTGTAAATGCTCTGAGTTCAGAATGAGTATGGCAAGTTCAAGAAGTAGTTGGAGTGTAGAAAGGCAAGGCAATGCATCTCAAAATGGAACTGGTGAGGGTCAATTGGAATAGATCCTGCAAGGACTTAAATTGCATATTGAAGATTTTAGTCTTTTTCCTATGATCAATGAGAAGTCATTCATTGGTGAATTTTAAGAAAGGATGGGTATGATCAAATTTGTTTTTTTTTAAAAAATATCATTCTGGCTACAGTTTTAGAGGTAGGTAAAAGTAGAAGTGCCCTGTACTCAGGCCAAATTTAGCTTGGACTAGATGGAAAGAAGTGGCAATTATGAGGTAGAATCAGCAGGATTTGGTGATTGAAAGAATATGGGGACTGAGGGAGTAGCGGAGATGAAAAATAATTCCCACACAATTAGCTATATTATGAAAAGAACTACATAAGTTTTGTTTTATAATAACACTCTTTACCTTTTCATGGCTTGATAGCTCATTTAGTTTTAGCTCTGAATAATGTCCCATTGTCTAAATGTACCACAGTTTATTTACCCATTCACCTATTAAAGGACATTTTGGCTGCTTCTAAGTTTGGGCAATTATCAATAAAGCTTCTTAAACATCCATGTGCAGGTGTTTGTGTGGATATAAGTTTTCAGTTCCTTTGGGTAAATACCAAGGAGCACAATCGCTCAATCATACAGTAAGAGTATGTTTAATTTTGTAGAAACCATCAAACTGTACCATTCTGCATTCTCAGCAGCAATGAATGGGAGCTCCTGTTGTTCCACAGCCTCATCAGCGTTTGGTGTTGTCAGTGTTCTGAGTTGTTGCCATTGTAATAGGTGTGTAGTGGCCTCATTGTGACCTACTAGCTTTTAATTAAACGTATTTTGTGTATGTTTAACCACTCACCTGTTTTAAGAACCTTTGGGTTGTCTCCAGTTTGGAGCTATTAAAAACAAAGCTTCTATAAACATCCATTTACAGGTTTTTGTGTGAACACAAGTTTTCATTTCTCTGGGATAAATGTTTAGGTGTCAGATAGCTGTGTTATATGATAGTTGCATATTATGTCTTATAAGAAACTGCCCACTGTTTTCTAGAGTGGCTGTATCATTTCATATTAACCAGCAGCAATATATGAACTTCTCTGAAACCTCACCAGCATTTGGTGTTATCACTATTATTCAATGTTTATTTATTTTAAAGGGTACAATTCACTGGTTTTAGTATATTCATAAAGTTTTACAACCATCACAATGATCTAATTCCAGAGCTTCATCACCGCAAAAAGAAACCCCATTCCCATTAGCAGTCATTCCCCGTCTCTCTCTCTCTCCCAGCCCTTGGCAACCACCAACTTGTGTTCTGTCTCTATGGATTTGCCTATTCTGGACACTATATAATGTAATCATACAATATATATGCCAGTCCCAGGAAGGAGGAATAACTGCCCCCTCCATGATGAAGGGGTTTGATGTAATTAGCTGGCTGTTCTATTTAAGAGATGGTACCCTACTGGCTGCTCAGGTTCAATCTATTGGGTTGTTGGAAAAGTCATGATGTATTTTTTCTATGTTTTTCGTTGCAAAAATGCATCATGACTTTTTCGACAACCCGATATGTTGCCCTACAATCAGGCAGTCAGCAATGGCAATAACTAGATCAGCCTTGGTGAGAGGGAGCTTATCCTCTTGCCAACTCATTGCCTCATTCCTGCCACTATGGCTATTCCATTCATTGGATTATTTAGCAAGTACTGAGGCAGCCAAAGGCAGAGGTGAGCTGACATGCACTGGATGAATCTTCCTATTCCCTGGGTTTCTCAGTGCCCCCTGAAATGGTGCTCTCAGTACTGACTGAGAGACAAAGTTTCACACACATTCCCACCCTCACGGGTCATGTACATGTCTCTTTCCCAGAGTTCCTAGTCTCTACTCTCTGTCCTTGCAGATCATTTGTTACTATCCATGTATATCTTTAGGTTATTACTTCCTCCCTTACAAAACTGATGACTAAGTGTTCTTCTCAAGGCTCCGCCCACTGAGAGGATTTCCCCAGCACCACCCAACACTGTCCTTTAGGTTCACCCCTGTGTGGGCATGTACTGCAGCAGCAGTCCTTATTGGCTCATATCAACATACCAACCTGACCCATCCATGAATTAGAAACAAGTTTTTTCTTCTTTATCTGGTTGTAGGGAACCCTCACAAGGTTTAAGGTAAGGTATTGCTGCAACAGATGTGGAAGTCTTGGAGGTTTGAGTCACCTGTTTACATAGCTTATCTGAGTCTCCTGTGCCTACTTGAGCCGAACTCTAAATACACAATTGCCATCATAGAAAGGACTACTGTTTCTTCGGTGCATCTTTTGACATGGTGGGTCTGACGATATACACCTCACAGTGAGCAACTCCAGTTTCACTTGGTGTTCCATGATTAGATGCTCAGTCTCTACTAAGACTCACTTCAGACAGAAAGTTGTTTCAAACAGAAAGTTGTTTTCTGCTGCAGAAGGCATGGCTTTGCTCCACAACCCTAGAGGTCTGAATTATAGATTTCCTATCAGGGCTTGCCAGAGACTCCTTATAGTGTACTTATCTACCATGGATATGTCTAGCACCTGAGCCAGACTGGATCATATGATCTAAATGTCAGTACCGCTCAAAGCCTGGACCTGCAATAGAACCCTCTCTCGCTCTGTGCCTCATTCAAAATTGATAGCCTCTGAATTACACAATAAATGGGTTGGAGCAATATTCCCAAAAGGAATATATGTTGTCTCCCAAATCAGGTGTTGTGTCTTTCTTAGTATTAAGGAATGAGAGATACAAAAATTTGATCTTATGAAAAGATGAACTGGTGTAGCCAAACTGTTGATCCGATAGGCTCCTAAATCTCGGCAGGGTTTATCATCTACCTTCTGCACATTTCCTTAGAACATCCCACTTCTTGTTCACCTAATCTGATTAACATGACATTTTATCAATATAGGTGACCAGAATGATATGTTTTGGAATGTTAAAATAAAGTCCCTCTGGATTGTATTGTGAAAGAGAACAGGAGCATTAACATAGCTCTGGGGCAAGACAATTAATATGTACTTCTGTCCTTTCCATATAAATGTTATCCTCATTTGTTCTTCTTTATTGGTGGAGATAGAAAATATTACATTTTCCAAAACGTTAGCCCCATACTAGGTATTAGAGCTGTTGTAGTAAACCTGTAACACCTGGCATAGCAGCTGCAATTGGAGCTACCACTTGGTTGAGTTACTAGTACATTAGTATCTGTCTGGTTTTGCAGTGGCCATACAAGTGCATTGAATGGGGGAAATAATGGGGATTACTACTCCAGCAGTCTTTAAATTTTTTGAGAGTGACTCAGCACACACACAAAGATTCATTATTTCTATTGATTTGCTATCTTGGTTGTCGGGGAGGGCTCTAATTTAGGAACTTTCACCTGCCCTTCCTCTGTAATGACTCTAATGCTGTAGGTCAGGAAAACAATACAAGGACTAGGAGCTGCTAAGAAAATCTGTCTCAATTTATACACTCAAGGATGGTGAAATAACCAGAGGGTGATGTATGGACCCTTTGGAACCACTGTGAAACAGACTTCAATTTATCACCTGGCCTCCTTAAATCACCACTCTAACCAGGAGCCATGATGCAGGGCCAGGACCAGGGTGAGGCAAATGAGGTACCTAGGGTGCAGACTTCAAGGAAACACTTTCAGATGCCACCCCTGCACTTGCACGATCCTGAGAGTGAGGACCTCCTTGAACGCTGTGCCCAAGCCTCTTTCTTGCCTCACCCTAGTCCTGGCCCTGCTGTTTTGGCCTCACACCATTCTGGTGTAGAACTCTTGCATATCCCAGTATTTCCCCTTCCTCTTATACCTCCTCCCAACCCACCACACAGGAGATTCTTAGTAATGATGAAGCTTCAACATGTCAGGGGGTGTGACCACACCACTTACTACCAGCAACGAGAGGCTTTTTGCCACCTGACTGAATGACTCAGTTCCATCACCCCAAGGGGACACCTTTCTAGAGCTATTCCTAACACCAATTATGTTCATTTGTCTTCTCCCAGACAGCAGAGTCTATGACAAAGATGTGGATACAGGAAGTTTATTTGGAAGGTGATACAAAAGAGCAGGAATAAAGGAATTTGGAGAGAAAGACAGGAAATGCAAGAGTATTTTTGAGTTGGTATCTCTGTGGGCAACTAGGGTTTAATAACCTTTTGACAAATGACCCTCTGACAAATCATGAGGTATATACCTCAGAGGAAGAGTAGCAGAGTCTTTTAACCACCATTCTTGTCCCCCATTTGTGGAGGGTAGCTCCCTTGCAATTCCAGACTGTGCGTTCCCATGGGCTGACCATGTCCCCCTGGCTTATGAGGAAGCCCTGAGGCAGAAGAGTGGTGAGAACAAGACAGGTATCTGAGGTGCGAGGCTGAAATCAGAGATGGGCTGAGAGGATGTGGCATCAGAGCACCTATTGGTCTATGCTGTGCCACACCAGTGATAATTATGATGCCACCATATGCCACAGATCACTTGCTTCACCATTTCTCCCAGTCAGGAATATATCCTGTGCTCTTCAAGTATGTGAGCAATCCAATCCTGGAATCCTATTGTGAGGGTTTGTTTCTTGGGGCCACTTTCTACACCACTGTAGGGGGACAGATGGCACTCTCAAATTAGGTAATTTGAGTAGAGTTAATAAAGATACTCTAAAAAAAAAAAGAGTGTGAGCAGGGATACTACAAAAGTGTGAGCAGGGATACCACAAAAAGTGCAGTGTCCCAGGGCAAGTAACAGCAGGGACATCATTATTTCCCTTAGCCGAGAAGAAGGCGGTAATGAGCTTTACCAGAACCTGGAGACAGAGTGCTGTGTGGAGAGGATCACCTAATAGCAGCTGTGACCTTAGTAATAAAACCACCTTAGTAAAAGATGGTCTGCTTTTCACTATCACCACACACAAACAATTCTAAACAATATCAATGATAAAGTACACGGTGCTCCACCATGCCAACCTGGCAACCTTGCCTGTATCCACCTAGGCCACACAGGCAATGGCTTGAGCAGCTAATCTGAGTCTTGAAAGAAAGCTTTGTGATCCTCCTGGAATATCAGAGAATGAGAGGTGTAGGGAAGCTGCCTTGAGGTACCCCCCACTCTCTTCCACATCTCCCTTGGGAGGCTGTCATGACAGTTCTTCACCACCTTCTGGATTCTGATGAGGTGTGGGGCTTTCCAACCTGCCCATCTCAGAATAGAGCTGCAGAATATAAAACTTCTTAGCTGCAGTCCAGAATTGGCTTCTCAGCAACCATCAATCCTACAACTCACATTGCAGTCATCTTGCCCCTTTTGTTTTAGTCCCATGCTTTTTGATGTGTAGGACAAGGATCATGGGGCAGCTAACACCTTCAGCTACTCTTTCCTCCACTGTTTGTGTAAGGGATGAGCTGTCTGAATCTAAAAGTGGCTTTCTGTATTTTTGCTGGTGAAATCACTTAGGCCTTGGCCTTGTCTTGTGTTTGCTTGGCATGAAATACTTCCTTCCC